CATTATTAGATTCGACCATATCATACTATAAATAATAAGTCCATTTGGGAACCAGGGCTGCTGTCTGGGCTTATGTACAGGATAAAGTTGCTGTCATTGGTACTTATGTTACCCCCAGTGTATAATAGTGTCAAAAAAAAAAATCATCTGTGTCTCTCTTCACATGTCATTTGGGCGTGGCCTTTAATGTCACTGTTTAGGGTCACGTATACATGAAAACATTGCTGTCATCGGTGTTTCAGCATTCTACAATGTACAAATAGTAATTCCTAGTTGGTTTCATTCATGTCTCTCTTTGCTTGATTTTATCATGTTGCTACTATATAAGACCCGCATGGGTCCATTGGGGCTGCTGTCTGGGCTTATGTACAGGATAAAGTTACTGTCATTGGTATTTATGTTACCCCCAATGTATAATAGTAACAATAAAAAAAAATTCATCCGTGTCTCTCTTCACATGATTAAATATGTATTTGGGCGTGGCCTTTAATGTCACTGTTTAAGGTCACATCAGGTAAAAGTTGCTGTCACCTGTGACATTATAGCAAGTATCTACCTGGGAGTAATATCCAATTATTTTTATCCATGTCTCTCTCCACATGATTAAATGCATTATTTAACCCCCTATTTCATTTCCCCCAGCCCGCTTGTACAGGATGTGCCCCGGCAGCAATACTGAATATTTTATCTTGGCCCTATACTATCATGACCAGACCATCAAACCTTTTGTCTCTTTTCACATGATTAAATTTTCTGGGCTCCCGGTCTATGTGGCTATATGACCAGAGTTTAAAATACTGAAGTTCTGTCAAATTTAGTTAACCAATCAAAATAGTTACATAAGACTGGTACTTACAAAATCATTTAAAGGTAATATGAACATTTATAAACAATCTACTGTTGAGTATCAGTATGTATATTCATATTGCTGATGTGAGTACAAATATAGTAGTAGATAATAAAGCTACTGAACGTAGCTTTATTATCTACTACTAAATTTGCACTCACATCAGCAATATGAATCAAGCCCAGATTCCGGTTATTTTTCTTGGACCAATCAGCAACAAGCTTGCTTGGTTCGAACCAATAGAACGCATACGTACTTAACCCGAACAACCGTGTTCCGTGCACGATGTGAATGCAGCGTTCAAGAAACGTAGCAACTCAATTTTTTTTCCGGGCTTCAGATTGGATCCGGGCTTGATGTGAACATAGCTTAATGTTAGTCAGGCTGAAATCAACTGCAAGCAATACTCACCGTGTACGTCCATAACTGTTAGTGCGCCTAGAGTAACTCTTGCTCCCTTCTCTAACTTGCCTCGTACCAGATCAACTATATCTGCCAGGTTATCATTACTCTTGTCTAGGTATTTCTAGTCAGTAGAAAAGATATTATAAACATAATAATTACACAACTGTATATGAAACTAGAGCCAAATTTCTGTGCCATCATGGAGAGCAATTTGCTATTAAAAATAAATATGCATGTGCAAAAAATAAATTTGCATGTGCAAAAAATAAATATGCATGTGCAAAAACTAAATATGCATGTGCAAAAAATAAATATGCAAATTCAAATATGTATACTAAAGCTTGCATTTATATTTTTAAATCTAGAAAGGTGAAAGGTAAATGATATGACAACTTAATAGGTAAGGTGTATCTGTTAAATACACCATGCTGGGATGGATGATTCCATAACTTTTCATGATAAGTTCTGCTGAAGGAATCTTGGCATATATTGGAAAATCCAGGAAGTTCTCAACAAATTTTGCTGCTCAAAGTTTGATTCATTTCCCTATAACCTTCAATCTATACCACTCTCTCAAAATTCTATGTAGGTAACTACAATAGTACTCTACCTTGAGTCCACCCTTCTCATTGATAGCCTCAGCCACTTCCTGTGTCCAGTAGATCTGTGTGCAGCACAAGACAACCTGTCCAGGCCACTCCAGTACCCACTTGTTGCGTGGGATGGTAGCATAGGCCACAGTACCATCCTGAATAACCTTGCGAACACTGGCAATCATAATGTCTTCAACCTGGGCTAGCCATTTCTCCACCATTCCCTGGAGTCAAAATATAAATGGTTGAGTCTTGTGAAAGAAAAATAGATGAAAAAGAGAAGTATATTATTGGCAGTGTAACAAGAGATTGTAAATAAAATTGCTTATTCTTATTACCCTTGCTTTAGCAGGGTAGATTTTGGATGACAATGGCACGGTCTCCTTCTCTGCACTGATCATGCCAACAATCTCCTGTTGGTCCGTGAACTCCAGCTTGGCTATTCCTTCAAAGCATTTCTTCAGATGTGGTTGCACACGAAGGGGATCTTTAGTCTCTGACAAGATTTCAAGCAGTTCATCATTGGACAAGAAGAAAAACCTAGTAAAAAGAGAGAGAACCAAATTTAGTAAGAAGCTTTTGTACATAAAATAGTATACAGCATGGCTATTTCACAGGTGTTGCAGTGGTAAATATTTGGGCTTTTCATAAAAAAAGTTGAAAGTTCACGTTTTGAGACAAGCAACTTGTCCGTCTCTGAGTTAAGCCTTACTCAGGAGTGTAGGTGGGTAGCTGCAACATTATGAAACTTTCCAATGAATCTGAGTATGTGTTCGATAGGTGTTTGATCCAAAGACTGGGTAATATTACGGAGCTTTCGATTTGCGGACGATGTGATGCTAGAATGGATTCACTCATGCATGACCATACTACCATCCTAAGCACAATGTAATTTTGGCAAATTGCATCCTAAAATCCATGCGAAAATGAGAACTTAATGTTCTTGCACGCACAGATGACTTCGTAGTGACATCATTACGTTCTGCAGTCGTCAAGCAATCGAAAGCGCCCTTATGTGAAGCACATAGAGGTCTTGGCACTATGCACTATATCTCTTTATACAGTAATTATTTCTATTTATTTATATAATTAATATAATTAAATTTGTTTCATGATGGTAGCATTTATATATCATTAACATTATATTTTTCTCTGACCTTGGGAAGTAGAGTCTCTTCTTCTCCAAATAGTCATTCAATCCTTTCTGGATTTCCTCCAAGAGTTGGTTTGATTCAAGTAGTCGGCCAAGCATGTTTGGTTGTGCTGTACAAACCAGCGCCTTGGTGTCTTTCACCTGTGAAACAAAACAACTACTATCAAACAAAGGAGTTTTTAACAATTCTGGTGGTTGCAAGTAGCAACTCTTGTCATTTTTGTCAGAGGTGGATGTTTGAAAATGGAAAGGTCATGTTAGCAGATCGGAAATCTCACCGCTTCTGTCATGATATCCTTCCAGTAGCTGTCAACAATCCCAAACTTCCTGCCTTCTTCTGGCATCTGTGCCATGATGTCTTCTGAGCTGAAGATTGGTTCCAGGTAGAGCCAAGTTGCTTGACACTTAAGCCATGAATCCAGAATGTCCTGCATTGTAACAAGCTTCTCTTCCCACTCCTGTGAATGATAACAAATCAGAGTTTGTCACTTTCCTTCTTTAATACAGCTTAAGGTACATCTGTTCAAAAAGATTCTTGGCACCATTGTAGAACACCTTGGTAATACATCTGAGGAACTACTGTACAATACGATTACCATTCGACCATTCCATGGCAAAACGATGTAACTGCTTTTATATTTTTGTTAAGTTACGTTGATTGTCATGAAACGGCCACATTGTTCAAATGCTACACTTGACAGAAAATGCTATATCGTGACTAACCTTGATTTCCTGTTCAAAGGGTTTGATGTATGGAGAACCTCGCATGGTTTGAGTCTTCACCACATGATCATCCAACACTACCTGAATCTCATCAATGCTGGACAGAATGGAAACTCCCTGAAAAACAAAAAATCATGTTGAAATTTCATTTAGTAGCAGCAGTAGATGTTTATAATATAAAAATAATAATACACCAAACACATTTAAATAACAATATAATACATAAAATAATAAATACATAATAGAATATATCAATAACATAATATTATTACTCTTTTTGAACACTTTTTATTTACTAATGTTAAAAGATCAAAACTAATACTCTTTTCGCACTAACAGAAAATGTTTCAACTGTTAACAATTTGTAACAAGTTGCAACACAGCTTTGATCTCGCAAGATATTTTATTTATTTCACAAATAATCCGAAAAATGCTAAAATTCCGGAAGAATAGCAGTATGTTTAGATATCAATGGTAGGCCTTGATCATGTGACATTAATTTGTTCTTCATTGCCTGGTGACAGTATGATGATGATTAGCATAATTGGCAGTACTAACCGTGTCTCTGTAGGGTATTAATTCAAAGTAGACATCAGCCCACTCCCCTTTCATCTTCTCCATGGCTTTCTCCAGCGAATATTCTTTGCTGGCTGCAGCGCCTACCTCTTCAAGTCTGGATATCAAAAGCAAACACAATTACAGTACAAATAAAAACGTTATTCCTCACGTGCAAAAAACAAAAATTCAGGAGGCCCGGACATGGATTAATTATACTAATGCACCTTTCATGTACGGTAACTTACTTTTCCATGAATTTTCCAAGACCCAATTCCAGCATGTGGTAGAACGATGTGTCCGCATCTGGCTTCAACTCAAATCCAACGACGTCACTCATCTACATCAAGATGATAAATATCAAATGTTAACAGTTGTGAAATTGCAATTCACAAATGTGATGTATTATTTTGTTAAAAATATTTAGTTGTCCGGTAAGACACTACCAAGACAAAGGTGGATGAGCTCTTCGAAGTAAACGGCCAACTATGCTTAGTTTAATTGACCTTATTAATATTTTATACTTAGGGACAGACAAGACTTCTAAAGTATCTCCTTTTCTTCAACAAAATTTTTACCATTTACTATGTTTGTAACATTTTATGATTACATAAATAATTGAATTTCTTACCCTTTCCCAATGGCGATCCCTAATACCTGGATTGCAGACTACAGACAGGATGGGCAAGTGTTGCTTGAACTTATCTATCTTGCCTTTGACGTTATTTGCAATTCTCTGAGGGCCTGGCTGGTCATTAAAGGACTTGGCCAACTTATACATGGTCCTGTACATATTGTCCACGGTCTCCGTCACATGCTCTGCATTCAACTCTTGGAACGGACCTAAAAATAACGACATAAAAAACAAAAAGTTAACTCTATACAGTTACAAACACATTGCAAAATTCAAGAATGCTAAAAAACAAATACTATAAAAAAAACAAAAAAATGGTAATTTCACAGGGAATAACAAACACAACATATAGGTTACTTGACTTACCATTCAGCCATGTCTCATACTGTGTATGAAAATCGAGGGCAGTGTTCCAAAGGCTGTCGTAAGGAGCTTTGGCAGCAAACATGCCAGCAAGGATGGGAAATCTAGTCGGCTCCCACTCTAGCAGTTCTTCCTCTTTGTTCAGGCCCTCCAGTTCATCCCTGGCATCTTCCATCAGCTTCTGGAGCTCAGTCAGTTTGTCGACATTTGCTTTCATCTCATCCATACTCAACATCTTTAAGCAAAAGTATTTAATAAAAGTAACATTCTTGTTTCAAGCACTCATGAATATGTATTACCTTAAAGTCAGGCTCCCAAGGAATAAAGTTTTTGATACGTTGTAGAACTGAATTTTATATGGCACAAAAATTAAGCATATTGTATTTGATGAAAAACTTGGGAATGGTACGGAGATACAGATTTTTGTATATTTAAAAACTTGGGGAGGGGGGAGGAAAAGGTGAAAAAAAAGTGGTTACGTCCCTTTTGTTTTCCTCCGGAGCCTTGCTTCAAAGAACATACACTACCTCATTGGATATAAATGACACTTTATTATGTATTACCTCAATATGTACCAATTGATTTAATATCCATCACCCAACTGGTATGAAGCCCTTTATCTAATATGCATCCCCACTATTACTAGTCTATTTAATGAATAAAATGTTCAGCATTGATTTCGCACTCAAATGTAAAAAACGGGTTAAATTGTACAGCTGACGATGGAATTGATGTATATGAAAATAAAAAAATCCCCGTAATGTTGTAAGTAAATTTCCTATAATGTATACATAATTAAAAATATGTTATTACTGTATTACAAAAAATATTTATTATCTATTAAAAAAATTGTTAACAAATTAAATATGCTAAAAACCCCAAATATCATTTATACTTTCATGGACCATATAAACAAGTGAAAACAAGTGAGATGGGATACAACACTGAAAATGATCTTAAAAAACAAAAGCAGCAAATACAAAAACAAAATAAAAGCATTTGAAAACAGCACACATAGCTTACACAGCACTCTTGAAACCACATTATACAACTTTATGTCCTTTAGCTTAGGCCTACAAGCCCTACTATGGCATGAATGCAGGCCACAGCCTCTGACTCAAAGCAGAAATGTCAAGCACAGAACAAAAACACCATGAAAAAATATATAATTTGTCTCCCTGTTAGACCACCACTTCCATGGTAACCAAAAATTGTAAAGCTACAGATGACCAATTTATGACTGGAGGAAGCGGCGTCGCTTTCTTTTGCAGGTGTAGTAGAAGACCCTACACATAAACTGGTGGTAGAAACTGTTTTTTTATTTTTTTTTTATTTCCCTCACGTCCAACAGCAAGTACTCTTGCCACTTACAGGATGAGAATGATGCTTTATAAACTAAGACTCTTTACGAGGCTTAAGGAGTGGAGTTGATTTTAGTCGTGAGAAAAAATCCTGCTCTGACAAGAACTGAACCCAGGGTCCTGGGATCAGAAGGCAAGCATCTTCACCACTGAGATATTCAACTCCACTCCTGGAGTTGTTTAATGTTGGCGGGTGGGTATCTGCATTAGCACACCTGTGAAAACGACGCTGCTCCAAAATCATGATTCCCATTACTGAAATACTTTTTCACTTGCTTTGCATTACATAGTTAATAAATTTAATTTACCTCCATAGAGAAAGAACAATTTTCTGTGTATTTTTTGTTGTGTATTTCATTTATTAAACAGTAAAGGTTTTGAGTCTTTACACTCATAAATCAACACAATACTTCATCTTGCACTCTAGTTTCTTGGTGCTTTGTAGACTCAGGGATATTCCAAATTTCCAGACATTAAATTAGTTGAGTATGAAGTAACAATTTGAATACATGTATTTCTAACTTCAATAACAGATAAAAATATTTAATATTTTTGAGATTAATGGACTTATTACAAAAAAATCACAAAGTAAAACAAAACTCCATCAAATTGGAAACAGCAACAGTGAATAATACCATACCATACCTTGCCTCGGGGCTAGCCAAAAGAAATGAAAGAGTAAATGTCATTAAAAAAAAAAAGAAAATTCATTAAAAAAAAACAAAGGTGTTAAAAAAAAGTCCTCTCCAGAAAATCAAATTTTATTTGCCAAAAACATGTGACATGCCTAAATATGGTCATGATGACATCACATCATGACCATATATAGGCATCATTACTATATATGAGCATACAACACTTTTTTATCAATGAAAATGTGATAGTCGGGAGAGAGCTTTTGAGACATACTGTTTGTGAGAAAATGTGTATCTTTAATTTTGGACTTAAACAAAACACTATAAAAATGATTTTCATAAAACTATATAAAAGTCTGTAAAGGATATATAAAATGTATAGTAAAAAAAGAAAAAAAAAAGCTGTAAAGTTTGTTTAAATGAGGAGGATGCTCAAGATAGTAAAAAGTTGAACATGGGAGTGTCATCATGTCATGAAAGTCAGTAATCCTTAGTAAGAGGGAAAATGTTGACATAAATAATTGATGATGATGATGGTGATAACAAATTTATATATGTATAAATGTATATAAAGATATATATAGATTTATGTAAAAATATACGCAAAGTACATGGATATGATGTGTATAAATATGTATATGAAGTCCAAATGTCCAAATGTCATACCTCTTTCTTTCTAAAGAGATCCACGTCACGGTTATACTCCTGCAGCTTTTCATCAAATCGTTGAACTTTCTTACGGACCTCTTCCTCAGCATGCTCTCGCCGGCTCATTAGGCGGTTACGGCACAGCTCAAACACGGTCTGGATGTGGTCCGGCCAATGAAACACCGTACTATTCAGCTTTATGTCCTCATCTGGAATAAAATTTTTAAGAATTGGGAAATTCTATGTCTTTGAATAAACAGTTAAAAATCTACATGTGGAGTATCTGAGCACACATGACCACATAGAAAAATGGCATAGTTTCAATTCTGGAAGTTTTCATAAACTCGTATTTCTTAGCAAAAGGTTTCCAAAGTAGTTGTTTTAAAATCGTAAGTGAAATAAGTGCTGTGTGCATACTAATTCTTTGGGGCAGACAGTGCACTATGTAAGTATTCAGGTTTTTATTAAAAAAGTAAATGGAAGCTTTAGCAGAAAAGGATAACCCGGCTTAAACGCTTCCGAAACTTACATGGAAGAGTGGCGTAATCCAAGAGGAACATCAAACGACTAGCTGCCTCATCAATCTCATCCGACAACTTATGAACTGTGACCTCACTAGCAGTGCGCAGATATTCTCCGAGCTCTACCACACCTGACGTGGTTTCTGGCATCTCGCTCACACGCTCTGTGATCTCATCATAACGTTTACAGATACTGTTAAAAAAAACATTAATAAATAATAAATAATAATAATAACAGATGTACCTAGTAAGGAGACAACTGAGTTAATAAAAAATATACATAGTAAAAAGCCGATTTTATGATGTAGTTATTCTTGAGAAGGGAAGCCATGGTATGAAAGTATGTTTCCAACTTATTTTTGTGCTAACTGTTCAAACAGTTAAAAATATTTTGCACAGATTAACAAAGATGACCACTTAATTGAGGAGTATGATCTATTTATTTCAACTTTCTTTATTCTGGATGGCACAGTCAATGTAAAGGCACTGGTTTGCGTTTTGGCACCGATTAAATTTATCTTGAGGATATTTCCCGTACGATTAAAATCGTAACGGTACTGGGTTTGGTCTACAGGAGCTCGGGTTTCATACAGGTCATTCCATTCATAGAAAAAGCCTTTAATGGTGAAAGCGTACCTGTCATTAGCCATAGTAGCCTAGGTCAATGCATAACACCGGCTGTATAAAATTTATTATAAGATTGAAAATGTTAATCTTATTATTGCAGTAGTGATACACTATGTACACGGTTTAGTTATTGTTATTTATTCGTTAACGTTATCATATTAATATATAAATTTAATGTATTGTATAAGTATGAATTACTATGTCCATGTTATCTATTAAAATTGTATGTTTAAATAATATAGTAATAGGCACTGATAGCCGAGGTCTAGCCTAGACCAGTCCTAAAACAAATGAATATGTGAGTGTATACTGTAAAACTATGAAAAATATGAAGAAAAAAACGCAAAATTGTGAAAGAATAAAGGAAGTGTTTTATACACTCACATATAGTCATTTGTTTTAGGCCTAGTCTAGGCTAGACCTCAACTATCAGTGCCTATTACTATATTATTTAAATATACAACAATTTTAATAGATAAGATTAATTTGACCTAGGCTACTACGGCTAATGACAGGTACGCTTTCACCATTAAAGGCTTTTTCTATGAATGGAATGACCTGTACAAAACACAAGCTCCTGTAGACCAAACCCAGTACCGTTACGATTTTAATCGTGCAGAAAATATCCTCAAGATTACATAATGTAATATACAAAAGTGATTTTAAAAAAGATAAAGACCACGATAGGATATTGTACAAAACAAAATTAGAATTCAGTTTGGGGTACCTTTTATTTAACTTTCTGTTTTCATCAACTTCAAACTGCACTAAACGCTCCTTAAGCTTTTGCGCTCTATTGCATAGCTCCATGTTCAGCATCCTGCAGTCCAAGCAGAACATGCTCAGAGGAACCGTGATGTGAAGCGACGAGATCTCTTCCTTCAGTTGCAAGTAGCTGTTAATCTTCGCCATGAATCCTTGAAGGGAATGCCGTTCCTTCAGGAATGATGTCACGTCAGCCTCTGCCTTGTTGTTCAAGAGGTCGTGGTACTTCTTGTACGTGTTGAGGTATCGCGACGGACCAACTGCATTCAGTTTGAAGATCTCCATGGCTTTGTCAATGAAATCGGTTACTAGTTGCTCTTCCAACTTCACTGTTCTTAGCAGTAAACGGTGTGATTTCAGCTCTGGGAAAATGTCACACTCCACCTAAAGTAAAAGTTAACATATTTGATAAAAGAAAGAAATAGAAAAAATAGGTTGCTGATTTATAGGTAATGACTCTGTGATTTAATGGTTATCGTTATAATTGACTCTTAAAATGAAAAAAAATTAACTACAGAAATGTTAACATACCAGGTGTAGCCCCATAGGGAGTTACTGTAAACTAAGCTATATTAAGCTTTAAAAAAATGCTTTTATCTGTACCACAGTAATTATTTACTGCAAATTTGTCTATCACCTCTGAAAAAGACGTGATTGGTTGAATTTTACTTACCCTCTGTAAGCCGTCAGCTGATTGGATGATTTCCGAGAAGCACCTTAGGATTATGTCTCTGCAGTGTCTGAATGGTGGATCAAAGACTATCTTAGGCTCTTCCACTTTTAGCTTGATTATCATGATTTGAGGCATCACGTACTGCAGCTCATGGTACTCATCTTCAAAATCATTTCCCACCTAAGCAAATTAATAATGATAACAATAACGACAACAGTAAGGACAACAATAACGGCTACAAACACAATAATATTAACAATATAAATGTCAACATATCTACTGCAAGCAGTACTCATAGTATTCTAAAAGTTAATGTAAATATTTGATGTTTTTCCCCCCTAAATATTGGTGTTTGTCTTGTCTTTATAATGTTTTTATCTATTCTTGTATTGTAAATTGTCTCATTCAGTCACTATATATGTACGATTACAATAAAGATTCATTTGAATTTGAATGTCTGAGATACCCTTCTAAGCAATTACATCATTTCATTCATTGTTGATTGCTGACTTTCATTTTCATTGTTTTAATTTATCTTTATTTGTGAGGTTCTGTACAGACTATCAAATTTTATTTTACAAAAATATGTGACATGCTTATATATATATATATATATATCCTGATTTTCCAGAGTTCACAGAGCAGGTTTAATAAACATTCATACAAAAAATCATTTGTATATTCATTCATCAAACGTAAAAGTTTTGCTCAAATTTTATTGGTTATCCAATCGTACCATGTGTATTTTGAAGAATTCCAGAAAGTCTGCCAGCGATTCAATCACCATGCTTCTAAGCTGGATGGACATGAGGGCGGCTATGCATGCAAAGAATTCCTGAAGACGCTGCGTTGATTCCAGGCCGTGTAGGTGCAACCATAAGTGGCGGTAGTTGGATATGATTTGCGCACAAGTTGGAATCCACCTTTGAAATATGAGAGAATGAAAAACACATAAAGATCAGATACAGCTATGGTGTTGAAAAATAACAAAAAATTCTGCCTGATATATAAAGAGCATAATAAAGTATCATGGCTATACACTTCTGGTACAACCCCTTTAGCTCACATATGATGACATGGGGTATAATAATTACAAAAATCCACCAATCGAAAAACAAATGGAATAGTCGGTCCCTTTCTAGCTTTCGATAAAAAATGAGGATGACACATGGTTGTGGAATCGGTTGTGCTTGGCTTCAGGGGTCGACTATTCCATTTGTTTTTCAAGGGGTGTTCTCTTTTGGGAGAGAATATGCAATTAGTTGATTTATCCATGTTAAGTATTCACAAAGTAGAATCATAATTCTACTATTTCTATACACACATGCATGTTTTTTGACACTTTTTACAACACAGTACAACCCCTATTCAAAGATTACCTTTGGAACCAAAGAAAGTTCCCCTTAATAGTGGTGTTCCCTGAATATGTGCTGGCTGTAGCGTTAAAAGACATAGTATTTCACTTGCTTTGTGGCTGAAAGTGTCCCCTTAAAAAAGGGCTTCAATAAAACGATGGATTATACTGTATTTTTAATTTTACAATGGATTGTATTCAGTTTGAATCTTTAAAAATATATAAGTTCCATAATAAAATGAGTTCATTTTTATAATAGAAAAACGTAGTTCAAAATTGTGATGTTTGGCTCAGCGAAACTAGTCTGTATCCGAAGAAAGTTCAAATACTGCCTCCCAAAAACACAACACTCGGAGGTTTGTGGTGATATTCTCGTTACTTACGTAGTTTTCAGGATTTCATGCGCCTCCTTGCATTGTTGCTTAACAAGAACTTCAAACTCCTCCGGAAGCAGAGGTAGCTCAGCCGAAAGTAGATCTGCTAACCGTACAAATCGTAAATTGCTGAAGCTATAATCACAAAAAAATATAATTATACATAAACGCTTAAATTTTCGGACCGTAAATTTTTTTTAATTTTTATCTATCAGGGCTATTTTTACAACATTAGTTATTTACCATGAGAACTACATTTTTATTAAATATATAAACATAAAAAATTACCTATATAAGGAAAATAAAATTGATTAGTCCCGAAACAAGCAAACTTTCTCACAGAGCCGCTGCGTATGTGGGAAGAAATGCAAAGCAGAGAAAAAATTTTAACCCTCAGCCCCTAACATTGCACTATAAATTGTTACATGCATACAAACATATAATACTTCAGTAGATTATGGCTGTCTCTTAATCCACATTGTATTAACCTCATAAACAGTGCCCTCTATATAAAAATTTAACATTCACAGCTTCCAAGATGCTTATTATGTCCATTACCTTTCATGCCATAAGTTGTGTAGCTCCAGCATCATAGGATTGGTTGTAAACAGGTGTAATTCATTGTATTCTTTACTTATGCCGTATGTATGATGCCACGGGACCGGCGCCCTCGTGATCCTCCGAGGAAACACGCTTGGGATCCAGTCGATGTGAAGACGTGCCTTCTCTTCTTGATCTTTCAATATGTAATCAACTATAAACAAAACGAAAAATTAATTAATATTATTAACAATTTTAAGTGTTCAAAATAGACCAAATGGATGAACACATGAATAAATAAAAAATATGAAATAAATAAAAACGATCTTTGATATTTGTTGACGTTGCAAGTTCTTTAATTACTCACCAATTGCTTTTCGTGCGCTGAAATCGTAATCATTAAATATCTCCTTTTCCAGAGTCTCTACCATTTTGTGCAAAGAACTATTTTCCAATAAGGAATCCGGGACATGACTTCTGACATTGCCTATCATACTGGTTGGGGGCGCTGCTAACATCGATGAATCAATTCCTTTGGTTATGTAGTAATAATAACGCTGTAGAAGCAAACAAACAGCATTTATATTTAATAGGAAAATGTTTATAATAATCTAAATACTTTTGAAACAGTGATCTATAGAACATTTAAAAAATAAATTGAATTAAAAAATGTAATTAAAATGAGAAGTTTTTTATGTTTTACATAACATTTGAAAAGCAGAAACTCTTGTTTATCATTTTAAATTCCCAGGTTGTAAAATTAACTGCAATATACTATAAAAAAAGTTATATATTTTTATTGTCTCTCACTTCTAAGTCCCTTTCACTTGGTTCTCCGTCATTTTCATTTTCTTTCATCTCTTTCTCAAGTATGATGTCCATCTGCTCCATAGGGGTCATAGGTCGAGACAGAGGTGGCACAGGGACGAGCCTAGCAATAATACAAAACAAAAATATTTCATTTTAATATCAATCAGAAATTAAAGATTTAAAATAATATTAATCCATCAATTACAAAATTTTTAATTAATAATAATAATACTGAAAATTTATAAAGTGCCAGTATCTGTTTACAGGAAACCACTCATGTCACCCCTCCACAAGAAGTCAAAATAAGGAAATTAATGACACCAGATAGTTAAATAACCAGAAAAACAGTAATACTACATAAGGGGTATTTGGGTGAGCGTCCACTCTCTCTATGTAGCCATGTATGCACAGATACTCCAATAATTAAAAACAATTAACATAAAATATTATAAACAAGATACAGTGTTGCATTCTCCTTTTTATTAATCAAAGTTACAACAGGATAGCGAGAATAAAAATGCAAAAAATAAAAGAAAATTACTACCTAATATGTAGGTGTGTCTAAACATAATTCATACACAGTAACATATCAACTGAGGTTATGAGGGTTCATGCTAGACCCCTACACTCAACTCCCAGAAGAGGCTTACACCTCAACATTCTAATGCATTCCTGCCTAACTTACGCCATGTTATTGTTTGTGTGCCCATTCTGACCGGTTTTCTTGCCAACGAAAGTCTTGGCACGTGGAGAAATCTGCTTTAGTTTCCTTGGTGACGTTGGTGATGTCTTTCCATTTCTTGGTGACCGGTTTGCTAATTATTAGTGGTCAAGGAAATCGAGTTTCAAGATCTAGTTGTTTTCCTCTTAAGAAAGCAGAGTCTATCAAGATATTACACGAGTATTGATTTATCTATTAGGTGTGTAAACCCTTAAGTACTGTATATTCAATATTTATCTTATTACAATAATTCTGTACAGATGAAACATTTTAGAAGGGGAAAAAAATAGGTAAAACAATAAATAAAATTACACATTTGCCTGGTATCTTCAAGACTTATATTTATTTTATTCAATTCAGCTTTTTTTTTAAATCCCATATCAACAGTTTATTATATTATCAAATTCAATCCAAGAAATACTAAACCACTGAAAAGAATTCCCACTCAATATAATAAACAATTTGGTATTTACAGAGCCAGTTAATCTGTAATAGATATGAGAAATTAAGATCCATAGTAGACAAAAATTAATCAATGAAGGTATGCGCACACCTTGCGCGCTGCAATTGAGAGGAAGTACTGTTATTGAAACAACTTTATGTTCAGATACTATCACAATAACACATTGATTTCAGGCGATAAATAACCTCAAAGACGTACAGGGAAATGTGCAAGTAAGCAGGCCGAGAAAAAAATCAATACAAGGGCATAGGAATGCGCAACAATGCTAAACACAGAAATGAGGCCTTGCCTGCCAGGTGTTATTAAAGCATACATTAGTGAAAATCTAGTCGTGTCTTAAATTTCATTTGTCAATGATTTCTAATGGATATTGAGTTGGAAATTTAATCGAAGTTGACTTTCTGTGAAAGTGTTTTGAGTTGGTTACATTAAGAATAGATTTTTTAAAGTATTCATTGAATGGCTAGAAAATTATGGTAATTTAATGGATAGAAATAACAATATTATTTTTAATGAAATTATGATTATATTTTATTACATATTACTATAGATTATCAAATAACAATTTAAGATGAAACATGAACAAATTATAGAAGTAATAAACTGTATGTACAATATATTATTACAGTAATGATATAACAATACCAACAAAAACAATCATAAAAAAATATTATGATAAAAATAAAATTAATATTATGGTATTATTTATTTGTCACCATATAATGATAATTTTAACAATTAAGTAATATTATAGAATTATTTCTTTGACAGTCAATGTTAAAGAACCAAAACACAGATTAATTCCGGGAATACATTGTATGGTGAAACAAACCCTACGATTTGTAAACGGGTCTCAAACCATTATAAATTTTTAAACAAAACTGGGGGTTGCGACGGTGAAGTGGGGGGGGGGTTGCTCAATGATCAGCTGAGGAGCTCTAATTCGCAAAATATGGTGATTTTAGGTGAATTTTAACTACTTGACCGTGATTTTTTTTTTGGGGAAGGAGACTGGGGGGCGACTGGGGGTGTGGGACGACTGGGGGCCATCCCCTAGATACGCCACTGGCTCCAGCCCTATGAGCCCCAGTGACTTGGAAAAGATTTGCTTGCTCCACTACCTTCAAAATTTATTCATGGTTTTTTATTTCTGTTTAATTGCAAATCTATTTTTTAAGATGTGTCAACCTATCCTAATTATAGTGAATTATTAATATTACCAATGAAATTAATTTCTTATCTGCATATCATTAAAACTTTTGAACATCATTAACCCTGTTTGCATATTATTAACCCAATTTGAATATCATTACCATGTCTGGATATCATAACCTCTATTGAATATCATTAACCTTGTCTGCATATCAGTACCTATATGAATACCATTAACCCTACTTGAACATCATTAACCCTGTCTGCATATTATTAATCCTATTTGAATATCATTAAATCTGTCTGTATATCATTAACCCTGTCTGTATATCATTAACACTGTGGAGACATTTTGATATATTATGTTTTGATTATTCAGTAGACTAATAATAAGTTAGTAACTATAGACCTTGCACATCGTAGAGCACTTCAGATGGCAAATTGTAATAATCAAGAAGCTACTTAATAGCTACTGTTCCGATGACATGAATGAAAATAAACGATTAAATGGATACTTCACTTAAGGACAACGTCGTCATTGGTAACCTGACAACAAATAGCAAAACAGCTGTGTGTTAATCTGAGTAGAATAATATCAGATGAAAAATATTTCAAAACAAGTAAAGTATTAGAAATTTTCTTGGCAGATTGTTTTTTGAGTGAAAGAGTGAAACTCCAAGTAATCTCACGCCTTCATGCTATAATTTACGTATAGTGGAAGATTAAAGGGGTACATGCTCAAAGTGGTGTACCATCAAAGTTACATGGGATGCATCAGTGAGAGAATTAAGACAGGCTCTGTTTCCTATAGTACACTTTATACATTCAAACCCCAAAGCAGATCCCACAAAGCCATACTTAAGCATGGAGGCAGCCAAAGTGGTTACAAATAAATTTGAAATATTAAAATAATAATAATAATAATAATAATAATAATAATAATAATAATAATAATAATAATAATAATTAAAAAACTGGCACACACCTATATTCTTACCTTCGACACAGAGTTGTAAAATTTCAAAACATAAAATTAATATTATTAGTGGTGTGAGTGTTATATGACAGTCTACATTAAATTTAGAATGGAAAATATACAAAACAAAACAATTAATGTAAATATAGGTAAAACAATTATATACTGTACCTGTAAAGAGTTGATTAAATTGCAAGAAGAATATTTCAAATTGACATATTAAACATAATAAAGATTGGAGAGCAGGACTGTCCTGATATACAATTATAATACAGATACAAATGCTAAGGATACACCAAATAGCAAACTTAATCACTATATTAAAAGTGGCAATCCCTTCACAAAGACAAACATACATAGTAAAGTAGATTCTCTACCTAGACTAAAGTCTCTTACGATACTTGGAAGTGGAGTGGGTTTGGTCAGACACTTTACAATAGAAATGTAACAGAATTTTATATAGGAGAGTAGACATTCAACATTTAAATTCATTGATTTCTATTTCACTGCATAATTATCAATTACCAGAATTCTCCAAAAGTACTTGAATGTTACCCTGGACATGGTCACACTAATTTCATTATAAATCACCCAAATCCTAACATGTATCTAATTATACTCTTGGGTACAGCCAAACCTACGAACCCAAAGGACAAAAGCAATGTGATAAATGGATTTAACAAATAAAATCAGAAATTGCGAAGGATACGTGAATGGCTCCGTTTCTTGGTCATGGATGGCTGAGTGCAGGACCGTGCTAAACTGATCTTCGGCAGCGATCTTATTTTCAGATTATTCGCAGACGGTGTGTAATTGTTAGCGATTGATTCACTGGGGGTACGGTGGTACTTCTGTTCTTTGAAAGGAGAAGCTAATGTCCACGACTTCCCTCTCATTATTGGCGGATGCTCACTATTACGTAATACAATCTGCAGTGTAAAAAAAACCCAAATAACTACAATTGTGTAGTTTAACTTTATATAATTATGCAGTAAAATCTTGTAGTTCTATATATTTTTAGGTTGTATATTTTTTACTCTATTCGGCTACAACCATGCTCAGGAGCACATTCCATGGAGTAGGGAGAATAGGGGGAACGTGCCCCTACCCGCTTTTCCACTAAACTTTAAAATTTCAGCACATATATTGAAATTAACGCTACTTATCATTTACGATATCTGAACTGCTTGAAATTAGTACTACTCACTCACCTATTCTGAAAATGGTGTGCCCCACCCCACCACATTAAATTTGAAAAAGTATGGATCCTCCCATGATGCTTAATGTGAAGGCATACTGTGCAGTACATGTTGGAGCATAAGTTTTACACGATATAACATTGCATTATGCATACAATAAGATATTATTTCTACATAAAAATGTACATACAGTTAAACATTGCAGACATGCGCAAAGAGAACACACTTCCACATTTCAAGAGTTTACTTAAGACAATGAATTCTTTTTCTCATTTATTGCATGAATGCATATTTCAGAAATCTAAGCTTCATGAAAAAAAAAATATTTTTAATCTTTTGACTGTAATTCTATTATGGTATATAGCATTATAATAATAATAATAATAATAATAATAATAATAATAATAATAATAATAATAATAATAATAATATAATCAACATTAATAATAAATAAGTTATGATTAAGAGTATTATAGATGATATTTATGTTGTAACTTAAAAATACAGTCTGCCTTCTGTTCTCAAATCGTTTTCAAAAGCTGAAGAAATAACTTTTGTAAGTTTATGTTCCTAATAAAGAACCTTGATACAGAAGTATAGTATGTATAATACGAAACGATACAATACTCCTTTATTGCCATTTCAACAACATGGCAAAAATTGCATTTGTGTTGATTGATCTGATAGGCTACAGTGTACACATTTGGTAAAGACAAGCCAAACCGGTCACATTTCCTTATGAAGTTACAAGCGTTAAAACATGCAGCTGTTTAAAGAACAATATTTGAGAAATCAGCCTTCAAAGTTTAAGATTGCAGGGATTTCTCGGGCAGAAACCATCAACAAATTGTTAAAAATTGTAGTTTTAACATTGAAAAAGGGGAAAAATCACAGCATATCATGATATATAGATATAAAGGTAGTTATAGTGCAATCTAATAGATTTCAAAAATTTTGACATTTCAGCATGTTTTGGCCAATATCTCTGAAACACAATTTGCAACGAGTGACTGGTTTGGCTAGTCGTTGCCACATGTTCAATTCAGAAATATATAAAGTATGAACAGATGAATAAATAAATGTAAATATAATTCTTTAAACCACCATTGCAGTGCTGTTCTCTTCTATTGTACAGTATCTACAGTAGGTATACACAATATACCAAGTAATATTTTTATGGATCAAGCTTTCATTGTTATCATAACAATGTATGACACTTTATTCGATGATTTTATTGATTTGTGAGTTTAAGATTAAGAGAATCAAAAACAGCTTGTGTTTTGTGCATGACTCTTAATGCCTGAACTTTGGACTAATATATTACACTTAGGGGTTCATACTCATCTAATCCCTGTTGCTAGGATACAGGCAGTATAGATTGACGAAAGTCTATTTCATGTGTAATTTTTTATTCGCAGATATAAATTAGCCAATTCATGGTTTGAACTGCACATGCCCTTATCATGGTCAATCGAGGATAGCCGACATAAACCCATGTTGTGCGTATGCTTGTATATTTCTATTGAGCATGATATAGGCATCCCATGGTTCGAAATACGAATAATGTCTTAGTTAAAGCTTCGATTTAAGTAACAATTTTTGTTGTACTTCTTTTTATTATTATATTAATTTGATCCTTCTTATCATATTACAATAATTTAGATATTTCTATCTGAACTGCTTGAAAGTTCTTTTCATGAATGTACTATATCAGAGATCCCAAGTCTCCCGAAAATCGCGGGTTTCTCCCGATTTTTTAGGCCGTCTCCCGCCCTCCCGATTTTTTTATTAATATCTCCCGATTTTTAAAAATATCCCGAAAATTTCACGAAAAATGTGATTTCCACGATGACATAGAGCAATGAAACAAAAATTCTTATCTTAAGCCAATATACTATGGCGCTCGCTCAGCCATAAAATGTGATAAACAAGGCCGGGAGTTGTTATTTAAGTTGTTTATCAAAATAACAACTCCAGGGCAAGGCAGACGTGTAGAACCTCCTTGTTTATCCTCCATGTTACGATCTTTTGCATCCAGCGCCGACCTCATTCAATGAGATGGCTGTCAGTTGAGTAAATAAATTTCAACAAATTAACGAAATCAGAAATCACAATGGGAATGGATGGGGCCCCAAGTTTTCGCCGCGAAGATTTGGAACAGAATCGGTGCATAAAAAA